CAATAGAAATAATTATAAACAAACAAAAATAATTATAAACAGACAGAAATAATTACGAACAGATAGAAATAATTGTGAACAAATAGAAATAATTATAAACGGATAGAAATGATTGTAAAAAAAAGATAGAAATAATTATGGACAAACAGAAATAATTATAAACAGGCAGAAATAATTACAAACAAACAGAAATAATTCAGAACAGATAGAAACAATTATGAACGAATAGAAATAATTATAAGCAAATGGAAATAATGAAGAATGGAAGCATCTTTGTCAAGAAAAATAATTAAAGAATAAAAGCGTATAATTACCAGAAACATCCCCTATCTGAGAACTATATTAATTTAATCTCGGTTTATGTGCAGCGCTCCTCGAGATACGTTTTCAAAAATGGTAATGATCCATGGAGATTCCGAACGGTCTCGGCATCCCTCAAGAACGAATAAAAGAAACGTACCTGGTATTATTGAAAACTTCATCCAAAGCGTGTCTCAGGCTCTTCTCAGTCAATTCAGTGAATTCTACGACTACAGCGACACCCCTGGCTTGGGCCGCCATAGCATTCAGATGCTGATCCCCGAACAATGGCATCAATACCATCGGTACTCCGCTATGAACGCCCTCCGACAATCCCAGGAGACCGCCGTGACCGAAGTAGCACTTAACGTTCGGATGATCTGCGAGGACAAAAATGCTCCCGTTATTTTTCATCTTACTCCTCTTTCTCCGACGATACGCGGACTAAGAAACCATTATTTGTACATTCGATCGTCTCGTAATGCGGTATTTATTTATAGCGTTCGAGAAACTGCAAAATGGAAGAAAATTAGTAACGGAAATTAAAATGTTCCATGATTTTTAAATACTTTTTGTGAGCTGATTTTTGAATACTTCTTGTGAACTGATTTTTAAATTCTTTTTGTGGACTGATTTTTAGATATTTTCGGTGAACTGATTTTTGAATGGTTTTTGTGGACTGATCTTTAAATATTTTTCGTGGACTGATTTTTAAATAGCTTTTGTGGACTGATTTTTAAATAGCTTTTGTGGACTGATTTTTAAATACTTTTTATGGACTGATTTTTAAATATTTTTTGTGAACTGATTTTTAAATAGCTTTTGTGGACTGATTTTTAAATACTTTTTATGGACTGATTTTTAAATATTTTTTGTGAACTGATTTTTAAATAGCTTTTGTGGACTGATTTTTAAATACTTTTTATGGACTGATTTTTAAGTACTTTTTGTGGACTGATTTTTAAATAGCTTTTGTGTGGACTGATCTTTAAATACTTTTTGTGGACTGATATTTAAATAGCTTTTGTGGACTGATTTCTAAATACTTTTTATGGACTGATTTTTAAATACTTTTTGTGAACTGATTTTTAAGTACTTTTTGTGGACTGATTTTTAGATACTTTTGGTGGACTGATTTTTGAATACTTTTTGTGAATCGATTTTTAAATACCTTTTGTGAATCGATTTTTAAATACATTTAGCGAACTGATATGGCATTTACATGAAAATGTAACGCATGAACATGTTACGAATTTAATTTATCAATGCACAAATTGTTGAAAACGCTATTAAAAATCGACTATCACGACGACGAAGCTCCAATTAACAAAACTTGATTTTTCACGTAGAATCATCCCCTCCACCGATGCGAGGACACCCTGGGCGAATCCTCGGTCCGTAGATAAAAAGAGCCTGTTCCAAGAATTCCGTCTACGTTGGCCGCGATAAAAGTTCCGCTCGATTCCCCCGGGAAGCGACAAAAGGTCGCGAGAGCTCCCTCATAAATACGCAACGTTAGATTTCGTCGCGCCGTCAAATATGAAAGATTTTCGGCGCCCGGGGGATCAGAGGGGTGGGCGCGGCGCCCGGCCGATACGAGCTTATTATGGCCGCCGGTGTGAATGCTATCTTCGCCGGAAGGATCACGTCAGCCCGTATAATAAGGGAGGCCGGGAGGACTTCCGGGTACGGCGGCCCGTTTAAAAGAAATCCCGGCGTCACGGATGCTCCTCTGAAAAATTCCGGCGAACGCCGAGCGTTTATCGCGAGCGAGAAACCCGGCGTCTCCCGGCGATAGAGGGGCCCCGCATGCTGCCGCGTCATCGTATACCACCCGATTCCGCACCTCCGGCGTCGATTCTAATGTCAAATTCCATTACGCCAGCCCTCGGCTCGCCCGACAGCCCCGTTTCGCCCGCGGAGACCTCTACGGGGTGTCGCGGAAGTATAGTCATCAGAAAGACATTTTTTTCCTGCGAACGCTACGTTTCGTTCGCGTTCGCTGAAAATAACCGACGGAATTGACGACGATTATTCGAACGTTCGAAACAACCCTTATTCTTCTTCAACTTTTATGTCACAGTGATGTCTCCCTAATTGACGCTCAGATTGTCTACAAAAATGGACGATTTAAGTAGAGAATAGTAATGAATAATAATAATAATAATAAATGTCCGCGTCCGACACGTTATATAAAATCGTAGAATTTACTTCCTCGACACCCTGTGCATGCTCGGTTACATACACCCACACGTGCCATCCTCGAACGCAACTTTCGACGAGCGTCACTCGAGGTTTCGCACTCGATACGTCTTCGTGGAACGCGCGCGTCAATACGTGACAGAGGATATCTATCGGCTGGCATGAATTTTTGCAACCGACGGCGGTTATGCACTAGCACTCTGCTCTCTCTTTCCCCCTCTCTCCCTCTCTCTCTCTCTATTTCCCTCTCTCTCGCGCGCTCTTTTTCTCGCCCTCTCTCTCTCGCGCGCGCTCTTTTCCTCGCGCTCTCTCTCTCTCGCGCGCTCTTTTCTTCGCGCTCTCTTTCTCGCGCTCTCTTTCCCTCGCGCTCTCTCTCACCCGCTCTCTCTCTCTTGCGCGCTTTTTTTCTCGCGCTCTCTCTCTCTCTCTCACGCGCTCTCTTTCTCGCGCGCTCTCTCTCTCTCTCACGCTCTCTCTCGCGCTTTCTCTCCCTCGCTCGCTCTCTCTCTCTCTCTCTCTCTCTCTCACTCTTCCTCTCTCATCCGACACGGAGGGAAAAATCGGTCGACGACGCGGCGCTCCGCCGATTTCCTCGAGATTCTATCTGCTACACCGCAAACACTTTTACGCCGTCTGTAACGAAGAAATAACGCGTTGGCATTTCCCGGGGATGTTACCCGCGTTTTACGACGCGGATGCTCGCCGCCGGGGAATTGATATTTCGATCTCGTCCGACGAGCCAGTCGCGAATGTAACCGATAACTAGACTTCCATCTTCATGCAAATTCCCATTTTCATGTATCGCCGCATGCGGAACGCGGCGCGAACGGAACCCGTGTTTCTATGGTTAGAAGGTTCTTTGATAATGGAACTACGGTAAGAATTCTCCGGAATTCTTCTCTTCGGCTTCGAAACGAAAATGGACAATTTGGGAAGAGGAGGTACGATTACTCGAGCTCTGCTCGATTTTATAATTGCTGACAATAGGCAACTATAAAAATGGACGGCGAGCTTCGAATTAGCGTATCTGCTACTCCCAAATTGTTCATTTTTTGAAGCCGCAATTAGGGAACGTTCTACTAAGCGTTAATTAGGGAGAATTTACTGTACTTCCAAACGCGGTTTATACATTGTTTTGTAACAATTATAAGATTGATATAAACTTCGTACAATTTCTGTTGCGACTGGAATACGTTGAAAATATTAGAAAGAGAAAATGCATCATCGTATTTCTGTCATTTTTTATTAAGCAATTTTAATCTCTACAATAATCATGGTATTGATTAATATTATTAATATCATTGATTATTATACAAATATTCGTTCAGTGTATAGTATATAAATATTCATTCAACATACAATACATAAATATACATATATTATAATTAATATATAATATTATATTATATTGTATTTAATATATAAATATATTATATAATATAATGTATTTAATATATGGAATATAATACTTTTAATATATCAAACAATATATTTAACATATAAATAAATGTATATATTATATATAATATATATTTATATATTAAATATATTATACATATATACAAATATACATAAATATTAATTCCAGTCTTGAAACATTTCAATGAGTCGAAAATATTGCATCAGCATCGTTCAATTCCTTCTTTCTAATTTGAACAAAATGCCCGACTAGAAGAAATTCATTCAGCTAATTATCCTAATTGAATATTTCTTCCAAATAGTCCGAGTAATGCCTAATTACGTTACCAGCCCTACGTCCTAGTGCAAAGAATTGCGCGATGTTCTCGTTCGAGACAGAAAAAAACGCGCGAATTTCTGCAGGCCATCTCCGCGACGGCCACGTTTTCGGGAGATCCGGCAAGTCGCGCGAAGACAGCGTCGTAAGCCGTTAATCCAATGGCAAAGTAGACAATCATGTTCCGGTTAATTCGAAGCGTCGCGGGTGGTTGATGCCGATCCGGCAAATCCGCGGGGCAAATTGAATCGCGATCGATCCCTCCCCCCATTCGAAATTTCGCCTCGAGGCGATGCCTCGGAGCGTGCTCGCGCGCGCGGCGTTAGCATGCTACCGTCTCGTCGGACCCCCGGCCTGATCTAATAGACCCCGCGAAAGTAGCAAAAAAAGGTCGATCCTATTCCTTAATGGAGGCCGGCCGGAACAAAGTGGACCCGGTGTGCAGAATGATTTCGCTTTTATCCGAAGAGGTAACGCGATCTCTCTCCCCGCGGGCGCCCCCGCGCCCACCTTTTCCGCCGTTAAACGCGATACTCGAGGGCATTGCGTGTCAACACGCGCCCCCTCCGGCCCCCTCCGGCCCATCCGGGTAGTTCCATCCCCGATATCGTTGCCTCTAAAATCAATTACATTAGCGGATCGTATGCGAATTGACAGAATCGATTGCAAACATGTCGTGAATGGAACGATGGCGGCGCTCTGTGATCAAGGAGAGTCAGCGCCGATTTATCAAACCGACGTCCGGGGGCCCCGTTTATTCGATCCACACAGGCCGACGACGGGCTCTATTCAAATTCTTTCGCGAAAAATGCGGCAGATCGATCTTCCGTCTTCCGGGCTCCTTGCTCCGTCGCGCAAATATTAGTCGCGCGACTAACGAGCCAACTCGCTGTGCCGCGAATAATTTCCGGCACGAGGCGACTTCCGCATTTTTACCGGTATTTAAACGAGAATCAAACATCGTGTTTGTATACTTCTTTCGTTGGAGATAATAGGAAATGGAAGTATGTAAATGCAGTTTCGATTTTGATTTTTGTTCAAGTGCTCGGTAAAAATGTTAATGTTACTTTAATTTTGTTATTGATCGCAGCACTGGAGGTAGCCTCTTTTAGCTGAGACACCCTGTATATTTGAGAAAAGAAAC